CTATATGTTAACTAACTAGAATTTAAATAAAAGTCTGAAAAGAAAAAAAGGGGAAAAATAAGTTAAAAAACACATCCTTTTAAAAATACATGGATGGGGCACCTGGGTGGCTCAGTTGGTTAAGTGTCTGACTGTCTCAGTTCATGCTCTCATGGCTTGTGAATTTGAATCCCACATTGGGCTCTGTGCTGACAGCTCAGAGCCTGGAGCCCGCATTGGATTCTGTGTCTCCCTCTCTCTCTGCTCCTCCGCAGCTCATGCTCTGTCTCTCTCTTTCCTTCAAAAATAAATAAACATAAATAAGTAAGTAAATAAATAAATAAAATATATGGATATATATTTTTTAAACTTACAAAATAGGCAAAGGAAGTCTCAATATGTATAAATTACTTATAATTAAAATAAATAGTAAGTTGAAGAAAGGGACCTCCTTCTTTAGAGAGCTTTCTAACAGTAGAGGTTATCTATTGTATGAAATAGTTTCACCTGATCTTGTCAGAGTCTGCTCCTAATCCTTTATCTATATGATGCTGAAAGAGAACATAGACGCATCTTACTTTAAAAATCAAATTGGTTGATGATAACAAATAATAGCTAACATTTATTGAGAACTGAAAATTATATGTTAAATTTCGTTTAATTCTATAAATCACAGAATTATATTAAAAATAACTGCTCTTAATCTCCATATTTTTAAATTTCTTTTTGATTTTTATTTCATTTTATTCTGGAAGAAAGAGAGATCTGGAGTGAGGAGTAGTTAGCCAACAATTAGAATCTGTCATTATGTATTTCTGAGTTTTCATCTTAGAGATTCAAAAGGCTAGAAAGATGGGGTGCCTGGGTAGCTCAGTCAGTGAGCTGCCTGGCTTCTGCTCAGGTCATGAGCTCATGGTTCATGAGTTCGAGCCCTGTGTTAGGCTCTGTGCCGAAAGCTTGGAGGCTGGAGCCTGCTTCAGTTTCTGTGTCTACCTCTCTCTGCCCCTCCCCTGCTCATACTGTGTCTCTGTCTCTCTCTCAAAAATAAATAAACATTAAACAAAAAAATTTCAAAAGGCAAGATTGAGCTTGGTGACAAAAAGAGGGGCACCTGAGTGGCTCAGTCGGTTAGGCATCCGACTCTTGATCTTAACTCAGATCTCATAGCTGTGGGATCAAGTCCCGTGTTGGGTTCTGCACTAGCAGCATGGAGCCTGCTTGGGATTCTCTCTCTCTCTCTCTCTCAAAATAAATTGACAATTTTTTTTAAATGACAAAAAGAAATGATATAAGGTAAGTGCTATATTTACTAAAATATTTAAGTGTTTACTTAAAAAAATTTTTTAACGTTTATTCATTTTTTAGAGACAGTGTGCGAGCAGGGGAGGGGCAGAGAGAGAAGGAGACACAGAATCTGAAACTGCCTCTAGGCTCTGAGCTCTCAGCAGAGTCGGACAGGGGGCTGGAACCCACCAACTGAGAGATCATGACCTGAGGCGAAGTCAGACAGTTACCCAACTGAGCCACTCAGGTGCCCTCAAGTGTTTACTTAAAAAAAATATATAAATATATAAAATATAAATATATATAAATATATATAAATATTACATATATATATATATATATATCAGTGAAAGCAACCACTTTAAAACTCAGTGTCTGCTTGTTACATCCTTGATAGGCCTCAAGTCTGCCATCTCATAGGGACCATTTTGGCATTTGGTTTATTGCCTTTGAAGCCAGATACATCCACCAAAGCAATGATTCTCAGGTACTTAGGGAACATTTGGTGGTTAATGGAGGTGTTAAAAGTTGTTATAATGATGCAGAAGCTCTAACAAGATAAAAGGAGTTATAATCTCAAATAATTGTCCCACCCAAATTGTTAATATTGTCCCTCTGATGAAGCTTGATTTGCAGTGCACATGTTCACTTCAGAAGTATCATGGATATTCACTACCCTATGTGGCTTTAAGAAACAGGCATGAGAATTTTAACTTTCTTTATCATGAGAAGAAGAATCAAGAACTCAGTATTTAAATCAGTGGTTTTCCGTCCTGGATGCACATCAGAATTCTTGGTATGTTTCTAAAATTGAGGCCCTACCTAACTAATCGAAACTGAATTTTTGAGTCTAGGCATTTGTATTTTCTTAAACCCTGAAGAGCCATTTCTTGAGATGTTTGAGTTATCTCACACAGCCTAAAACAAAGTTACAGTAAACTATGTGGTACCAACTATATAGAATCAAAAGTTGTCTTGGTTTCAGTAGACCTTAAAGTTTCATGATTTGCCTTTGCCTCTAATGACAGTTTGTAGGGTCATCTGAGAGTGAGTAGTATGAATGAGTGACTAAGCAGAGAAGGCATGGATTGAAATGTATTTATTAAGTTCCATGGAAAGCATCTTATAAGACTATGATTCTGAACCAACTTTCACAAGGGCCAACATTTAAAACAACTACCGCTACTTCCCCTTCTCTCAAGTGATTACACAAAAGTACTACTGTGAAGCATTTAGTATGTTACCACATTTTTTACTGTGCCTACAAAGGTTTTCCTGTCACGTCCAGGCCAGAAAGCTTTCTTACTCTGTATAAGTTTCCCTTTGAAATCCCACAAGCTGTTGAGAATAGCAGGTCCTATTTATGAAAGATTAATCTAATCAAATATGGATGCAATCACTCCCCTCCCAAAGCTAGTTCAAAATTATAAAGAATGAAAATGATTGTTCATTAGACCTGATTGGTTTATAACTAGAGTTTAAACAGTAGTGTCTTCACAAATACTATTTTTGAACTGTACCAAATTCCAGTAGTTTAATGACCAATTTTTCTCACTTTCTGATATCATCCTCCACCACATTCTCTTCAATCCTTATATTCAATGAGAGCATCTGACCCGAAGCATGACTATCAGATGGAAGTGGGCTGTAATTGTACTGGAATATAGCTACAAACTGCACCAATACGTAGAGTTCAGACTTAACCCAACAAACTGACATTTGCTGGCACCCGATTAAATAACCATATCCCACTCTACCACATGAATTGAAGTGAAGGTTGGAGGATACAGGCCAATACATTCCAAGCTCAGCACTGAATTTTACTTTGTTTTATGAGTTTGAGTAGTTGTGCTTAAAAATAGCCAGCTATTTTTTTTTTCTTAAATCCAGGCCAAATTACCAAAGACACTCCTTCCTACTCCCAAGAATGTGCATGCAAGGGAATTTTCTACAATAAGGTTTGCTTGTTTGAATTTATCTTCAGTGTAATGTTTAAATAGCACAGCTTCAGAGTTACAAATAGCAAAAAATTCCTTTTCTCAATAATTGGGGGACTTTTTCTGCTGAGGAACAAAGAAGCTTGGGTGTTGCTCTTTTAGAACTAGCTTTGCACAACAAACATAAAACAAGTAACAGTATCACAGGGGAGGAGAAAAAAGATACAGGGGACACTCTTTCTGAGTTCTTGGGTACCATTTTGGTTAAGTTCTCTTCCCACATCTATGCCCTGTGATGTACCATAGATTGTGGTTGCCCACAGCATAGCCTGAAGTTCCAGGGAGAAGGCAGCAAGGGACAGGGTCACTTTGTGCCTGCTGACAGTTTGTTAAGACCACCTCCCAAATACTGGCCCCCAGCAGTCCAGTGAGATAGAGGTAAGTCTGAATTCCCTGATGCTGGATGCAGCTTTCATTGTACACTACGCTGTGGAAGAGGTGTGTGCTTACCCGCAGGCACGAACTGGAAAGCGGGCTATACGGCGGGTAGGGCAGAGCTGTCAAGAGTCTCCTTGATATTGGACTGTATGGTAAAATTGCTTCATTAACTTCAGAGAAGCTGTCAGAGTGACCCCAATTCCCTGAGAATCTATGAGCAGTAGCCAAGTCAGTTGTTTCCCCTCCTCAGTATCTTTCTGGGGTTCTATGTATGGAGGGCCTGGATGGAGTTCATTATCATGAAATTCTTCTATAAAACCAATGCTTTCAAACTTCATAGGTAAGATTAATATTCCTGTTGCCAGAATGACTTTAATTCCTAATGGAGATCTAAGGATGAGGCTGGTGTTTTGATCAGCCCAGACCTCTCCTGGTTAGCCGCTCCATTCTTATTCAGGCCACAAGGTATTGTTGAGGTATATGTAGCACCCCTCTTTTTATTTATTTATGATATCATTTCATCCAAGAATGCCTTGGAGCTTTATTGTTTTCTTGGGGAAAGCTAACATGCTCTCAAGTGTCCAAAATAAATTGCAACCATAAGCCTTTTTGTTTTTACACTTCACTACGAGTACATGTTTGAATTAGCTATTTACATATCTGTCCAGGCCAGTCAACCAATAAAAAGTGCTAAAAGAGTAGAAACCAAATATCACTTTGTACCTAAGAGCCATCACATTACAATGTTTGTTAAACAGACAAAGGATCTATGCTCTATATTTCTGCTGCGTAATCACATCTCTTGTGTATGCTTTCTCAGCCTGGTTTGGATGGAAGAGTCCGTTGGCACCCATCATTCTCAGAGCATTTGTAGCACACCACATGGGACGCTTTGTGGCAGAGATAACTGCATAAAAATCCACAAAATGGTAGATTGTCAGGGTGTATGTGTGGGGTCACTCTCAGTTTTAAAATAACTCTGTGGCTTTCCTAGTGAAGTTGTGAGTTAATTTTTAAACACTTCCAGGAACGACTTTCGAGTACTATTAGAACTTCACTTGATCAGAGAATAGGAGCAGCAGGTGTAACATTCCCTTTAAAAAAAAAAGGAGAAATTTCAGAAATTTCCATCTTTCACTGCCCACTGTTAATCCAGGCTGTGCTGTCCTAAAGAGCCTCATTGTATATCTCAGATGTTTATATTTAATAAACTTAAGTATGCTGACATTTCCTGATTATTCAGTTTCATTGTTAAAATTACAAAAGGCTTTTAGCTCATAGCTGTTTGTTTTTCTATCTTTCAAAATAGGGTGCCATCAAAACTCAATACCTTAAAATCACAAAATTTCATAAAATAAATTTTACTGTGATGTAAGTAAATATCTACTTAGTGATTTTTAGCAGTTATTCAGCCTTTTAAAAAATATTCATGTAACTTTTTTGACTTATGTTTTAGAATGTTTCTCTGAATATTTGTCTAAACCAGAATTCAATCTCAGTTCATAATATTTTGCTTTTGTTTTGATTATTTTTCTTTTGAGCTATTAGTATTTTTTTAGATATATTAAGTAAATAAAAGTTTTTATGTTATACTGAAATAAATATTAAATATGGAGGATAGCACAACTTTTAAAATTAGAACCTTTTAGAAAAGTTTAGAACCCAAATTCACTTCATAAAATGCAAACGCCCCTGTAGTATTAAGAAATGGTAGGGGCGCCTGGGTGGCTTAGTCGGTTAAGTGTCCGACTTTCGCTTAGGTCATGATCTCGCGGTTCGTGGGTTCGAGCACCGCGTCGGGCTCTGTGTTGACTGCCAGCTCAGAGCCTGGAGCCTGTTTCAGAGTCTATGACTCCCTCTTTCTCTGACTCTCCCTTACTCATGCTCTCTCTCTCTCTCTCTCCTAGAAATAAATAAAACATAAAAAAAAAAAAAAAAAAAAAAAAAAAAAAAAAAAAAAAAAAACCTGAAAAAAAAAACGGAAAATGATACTTAAAAAAAAAAAAGAAATGGTGCAACGAGGTGTCTGAGTGGCTCAGTCAATTAAGCATCTGATTCTTGGTTTCCATTCAGGTCATGAACTCGTGGTTCATGAGTTTGAGCTCCACATAGGACTCTGTGCTGATGTTCAGAGCTTACATGGGATTATTTCTCACTCCTTCTGTCTCTGCTTTTCTCCTGATCATGTTCTCCTCTTCTCTCTCTCTCTCCCAAAATAAATAAACTTAAAAAAAAAAAAAAAGAAAAAGAAATGATGCAACCATTTCAGGAGTTTTTATCCTGCATACTCCAAAGATGGAGCTCTGGAAATGATTGATTCTAAAAACAGTGTGTTCTTTATTTTCTTTATTTCCTTCTGAGTGTTTTGAGTTGCTTAAATATGTATGTTAACAAACAAGATGCATTAAGCGATTATCAAAGGCTGCCAAATGGCATTTGTTTCTTTCTGAAATTGCCCAACATAATGTACCTTGAAAGTCAGCAAGTTAGCTCTTTTAAGTTCATGTTGAAAGTACCTACCTTAACCTATGCATTGAAAATTAAGAGGGTGTGAGGAGCAGGGAGAAGTGCATCAGTTTGCCTACTGGCTTCAAATGATTTAGTAAGGGAAGAGAATTTAAGAGCTTGTTTTTTCAAAGAGATTTATAGAGTCTATTATTTCTTAGTCAGAAAACTTCATTTAGCATCTACTTTATAATTCCCTTTCTTCTTTTTCACGAACATGTGCAACTTCTGCACAATCCATCTCATTTCCTCTGTAGCATGAACTCCTGGATAGATAGAACAGAGCTTAACTTTTTAAATAGAGTAATGTAGATATCAGTTTCAGTCGGTCATTTAAAACTTCAGAGGAAGAAATTAACAAGTGACCCAAATTAATTTACTCCGGATTTTAGGTGGCTCCCGGGAATCTGAGCTCCTGTCTCTGAAGGGAATTGCGTATCTGCTGAGGCCCCAGGGCCACTGCATGGAGGGTCTAGCATTACTGTAACTGCTTAGACTCCGTGTAGGGAGAAAAGCCACAGTGAAGCAGCCAAAGGAGGTGGTTGACAGAAAGTAAGGATCCCTCAGGCTTGGATGTCACCAATCATCTCACTCACAGATCTTGCAGTGAGAAAGCTTTTCAGGAGAACAAGTCATATCCTCACCTTAGAGGGAATATAATTTTTTCCTAAGCAGCTATTTGTTTGAAGTACTGATATTTGTAGAAAGTGAATAGATTCAGAAAAGCGGGGTAAACTCAAAATAGATAAGAATGAAGTCGTGGGACTCTTCCTGTGTAAAATATTTCAATGGCAACAACATCAACACAAGACTATAGTGTCAGGGCAAGCACGGCCTTGTGGGTACAGTGTTTTCATCTCATGTGGACTTACTGAGAGGCTTTGGTGTGGCTGTGGGTCTGGGGGCTCTGTAGAGAGCTCTGTTTGGATGGGGGCGAGGCTGCACTGAAATGGGGCTTTCAGCCTCCCTGTCTATAGCCCTGTCTTTATATTTTTTACTGTAGCCTTCCCACACTATCATGTCACATTTCTTTTCACCTGGGCACCCACCCATACAGCTTCCCGTTCTGACCTTCCCCCTGTCTCCCCACTCCATGTTTCGTGAAACAGATTCTTTTCCCAGGCTCCAGTCAAAGCTTACCTATATTTGTTTGTTCCTTCTAGTCCCTTCTGTGTTCTAGCTCTTCTTTTATGTGCCTAGATATAACCGCTTCCTCTGTCAATGAAATTTTATTAGACAATCACAAACGGGAAATATAGTGCTACTACCTAATGATGATAAATTGAACATTTGTGGTAGAAGATATAAGTAGGCTAGCAACTCTCAGAGAAGGTGGGTGGGGAAAGAAGAGGGAGTTGGGACTTGTTGCTGTATCTTCAAATTATACTGGCTAAATGGCCTCTCTCAGCCCCACATTACTGCTAGAACTTCCTCCCAGAGAGAAGTGGCTCAGGGCAGCCCTCTTGTGGTGGACCGGCGTTCCCAAGGTCCTTTTCTAGAAGAAGACATAGCCCTAGAACAGTCAGTCCCTTTATTATTTAGATTTTGTTGTCATCATTATCAAAATGTTCCAACTCCAGAATCTGGAAATAATATAATGAGGTGCTAATAACTAATTTGAGAACAGTAAGCAAAATCTATCTCTAGTTTTAAATAGTCCATACTTCTAAAATGTTTTATTGTTTTGTTTCTTCAGAATACAGACCAGTACTCAAAAAGAACAGATAGTTTAAAACTGTTTCTTTTGAATATTTCTGTCATCTGGAAATGCCTGTACATAAGCCCCATGACAGATCTGCTTGGCTAAAAACTCTGTTGACATGCCACCAGCCCTCAGAATAGAAGAGAGAGCCAGCAACCCATGATTCTGGCACTGGGGAAATAAGCACATTCACTGAAACACGGCAATCTAAATATGTAACTTTCATGGGTAATAAATACTCTGTGTGTGACTCTTATAATTTTATAAACCAAAACAGACTCTTATAAGTATCAAAATTATATTTCTGTTGCTAACAGAAAATCCAAACTCTGTCATTCTAGGGCTAAAATAACACAGGATCAAATGTGACAGAATTAGCTGTGGAACTTTATAAAAATTAAGAAACACTGGCCTCATCCCTGGATGACCTGATTGGTCTGAGGGCAAGTTCCAACTTTCATAATTTTTTAAAGATAGTTCTCTGAGTGATTGCAGTGTCTGAGGGCAAGTTCCAACTTTCATAATTTTTTAAAGATAGTTCTCTGAGTGATTGCAGTGTCCAGCAAGTCTGGGAGTGCCACAAGTTTGTGGTCACCTTGATGGAATGGGAACTACCAGGAGAGACTCTCTGCTTTTGCTTGTAAGTTTATTTCAAGGTCGTGGGCTGCTCAGGATGTGGGCAGTCAATGCCACAGGTTACATTTCAAGAAACTTCAGAGTTGACCAAGCTTGCTATGAACAAAGATTTGTCTTATTCTTCTTCTGGGCCTTAGGGTCCAACAGTATACATAGCGCAGAGATGGTGCTCACACATATTTGTTACATGGAATGCTAATTGGAGTGCCCAAAACCTCTCCCTAGGAATGGAAGATAATTTAAGAGTCAAGAGAGTCCTGCTAAGCAACTGAGATCTTGTATCATAAAGTATTATGAAAATTGCAAAACATGCAGTATTCTAGAAGGAAGGATTATTTTAAATATATCACCTGTGTAAGAGCCTCTAAAATTTAATATGCATTAGAATGAGTTCAGTTTTTCAGTCATCTCTTTTCCAGTTTTTTTCATCTCCTTGCCAAGGTAAGTAGAAGCGCTATACCCTTTCAACTGATAAATATGGTTCAAGAGGAAAAGAAAAGGGACAGAAAACTATACAAGCAAAAAGTCAGGGGCACCTGGGTGGCTCAGTCGGTTAAGCATCCGACTTCGACTCAGGTGGGATCTCACTGTTCATGGGTTCGAGCCCTGCAACAGGCTCTGTGCTGACAGGTCAGAGCCTGGAGCCTGTTTCGGATTTTGTGTCTCCTTCTCTCTCTGTCCCTCCCCCACTCATGCTCTGTCTCTCTCTGTCTCAAAAATAAATAAACTATAAAAAATTTTTAAACAAAGAAGTTAGAAGCCACCCAGCCTTGTACACAGCCATAGTTGTCACAGCATAAAGAGATTAAGTAAATAACTGCTTTGTGATGCTTCAAGATCATCATTTAGATGCAAACTATAAACTATATGTGTACTGGCCAGCTAAAGGTAAAATTGGAGTGTTTATCCCCAGATTTCCTTCAACCACTAAATAAAATCCATTTGTCTTTGGATTTTGACCCAAGATTTATATTATCGCAAGACATAGGCCTCTTTAGATGAGCAGTCATCAAGGTAAATAGTCTGCTATTTGATTCCTATGTTGTACTTGGAAGATGAAATGTCATCTCCCTCGTATGGATGTAGCAGAAAACTGCATTTAAAAGTTGACATGTCCAGAATTCAACCTCTCATGCCACAGCCCCCTATCCCTGGGTTCTGTTCCCTTCCCTTGAACTCCTTGGAATTTTAAACTTCAAGGCACTCCACCAAGAATGAAAAGACCAGAGTTCTATTCCTGGCATTGCTAGCAAGTGGCTCTGTGATATTGAGCAGATGACTTAACATCAGGGCCTCTTTCCCCAGCTATAAAATGAGAGGGCTGGCTAGATGATTTCAGAGGTTCTTTCTGGCTCTAAAATTCTCTAAATCTAGAAACACCTGCATCTCGAAACATGTATATAGTCAATATTTCTCTCTCACCCTTCCCAAAATGTTTTAGTTTGTGGCCTAATATCATTATGCATGTAGACCTTTTCAAATCCTTTTCAGGATTTTCTTTTATGTTTCCTGAAGCAGTTCATGTTGC